TGCGAGACCAGCTGGCAAAGCTCCCGCTGACAGATGTCGACGCCAGGAGACGATTGATTCTATCAAACCCAACTCGGACCAAGAGGCTCTGGTGTTTGAAATGCGGGGGGTACTGCAGTTTATCTCGCACCCATGTCCATTGCAGTGGGTTTCCATGCGTGCATGACTCCACTTTCGGCAGCCACGGCTCTCGAGAAGGAGAAGGCTACAATGTACTATGGATAGGATTGCGGCAGCGACTCGATCTCTTGGACTGGCTGACTCAAAAAGGGCGCCAAATACCATTGCGACTGAACCTGCTCTTTGGGCGAGCCCCCTCCCCCTCTCCTGCCCCTGGGCCCCGTGACCTTAGACTCCCCGTTCTCCCCCTTGCCCCTAGTGCTCCTCCCTCTGGTAATTTCGGTCGGCTGTTCAAAGATGTGGGCCCTGAGGGATGGGGCCCCAGGGTTAGGCCTCAGGATAGATTTACATGATTAAAGGCCCTTCGTTCTTAGACCGCATCCCTCAGGGCCACGTCTTTCAACCGCCGACCCGAGGAACCCACGGTGATCTTCGAGTGCGTTCCGCAGCAAGGCGATGACGAGTACCGGCGGGCTCTCGGGGGACACTACTCCCTCGAACGCGTGACTCTCAACGCCTGCGACCAAGGCTGGAGCACGCGCCGGCCTCGCCAGTTCGTGGTGGGTCTCCTCAAGGGCTTGAATGTGCCGCCTCCCCGGGGACCCCACATGTCCATGCAAGAGTTCATCGACCGCTGCTTCGCTCGAGGCTGCGGGTACTCACCTTCGTCGTACTGCGTGAGCTCAGAGGAGGAATTGGCAGAAGAGTACGAATGGGCGGTTTCGAGAACAAACGTGAAAGCGAGGCACCGAGCAGGCGACAAGTTCAACGACCCGCACGGCTCGTGGAAGTACGCTTTGACTTTGACCGAACGTGAGCGGCTCGAACAGTTCTCGAAGCAGCTGCCTGGCCGCAATTGGGATCTGGGGCAAACCATCAAGAAGCAAGTGAACAGCCCAGTCACGGGCCCCTTACATACCCTGCGCAGGGGGATGGGGATCACGTGGATGGCTGAGCTCGAGAGGTGGTTGACGCCACTCGAGACGTTTTTGTCGATGGGCTTCCCAGTGACCCCAGAAGCTGTTAGGATGTATCACGGTGTCGACTGCCAATTCACCAGGGGTTCTACCAACTCTTTTCCTTATCGCACGCGGAACTCTATGCTCTGCGAGCTAGGCAATGCAATGCACGTTAATTCTATCGGGTCAGTTGTGTTCGCCATTGTGTATCGTTATCGATGGTTGCTGGTAGTGCACGTGCCTGAGCAGTCTGGTGACATCGCATTCCCGGCTGCCCCTTGCCCGCGCATCGACTCTGCACTGACCCCTGCTTTGGTTTCAGAGGAGGCCGAGGCAGCTGCCGAAGTCGCCAGGAAGCGCGCTCGGGCGATCAAGCGCCAGAGGTCCTTGTGAGTGAGCCCTCGGTCCCAAATGTGGACGAGGCCCGCCAGTGAGGAGGTGAGTGGATGGAGAAATGCCGATACGAATCGGAGGAGGGCGGCGGGTGGGAGAAGGAGAGCGGAGGAGGGCGGCGATAGGGAGGATAGGAGGATAGTGCTTCGCTTGGAGCTGGCTGGCGGGCAGTACAGGTCTGCTGGCTGCCCTGCGCTCGGCTTTCGGATCGCGCGTCCGAGTCTAGACAAGTCAGACAAGTCGGCTGGCCCCCCGCCTGGGCAACTGACAAGGAAAGTGCACCTCTATCCAGCCCTCCTTCAACGCGTTTCCATCAGTCGGCTGCACCGGCTGTGCATCCCTCCTCCTACCCTCCTCTCCTCCCCTCCTTTCTCCTGCAAGCTCCTCCTCTATCTCTCATCTCTCCTTACTTCTCCTCCGTCTCCTCTTCCATCTGTCATCGCTCCTCCTCCCCTCCTCTCCTTCTCCTTTTCTCCCTCTTCTTCCTCCTCCTCCTCCTTCCCGACATCTATCCCTTCCTCTCGTCCGTCTCCTGATCCTCGTCATCCTCGTCCTCCTTCGCCGCTGATGCGTGCTGCCCTTCTCGGCCCCTGCTCGTTGCTGGAGTCCCCCGCCCGCCAGGTCTCGGCCGCGACGCAGCTGCGGCGGCCTCGACGTCGTCGGACCCGATCGCCGCGCTGACCGCCAGCCTCAAGGCTGCGGGAGACGGGGGTGGAGGTGGAGGTGCTGAGGTGGAGGAGGCCACGCTTTTGGACTTCCAATGTCGAAGTGACACGCCCGACGTTTGAGCAAGTGCTGTCCTTCCTCGAGGCGGGTCAGTCTTCAAACGTCCGCTAGCGAACGTTTGATCGGTTGCTGACCCGCCTCTTGGGGGCTCCGCGCGAGCTCGAACGTCAAGGCGCAGACATTCCACATCGCACCCTTTACTTCCTGCCGTGATCCCTTGGTCCAGCTCTTGCCCACTACCAGGTGGTTGGCCTCAAAAGGTTTCAGGTGGCAAGAGAGTTTCCCAACCTTGACCATGCTGTGGCGTTGGGTCTTCGTTTTTTTTTGGAAAAAAACAAAAAAAACGCGCTTCACCTCCTCCTCCCCCCGCTGCCCCCTCCCTCCTCTCCTCCCCCTCTTCCCTTCTCCCACTCCTGCTTCTGCTCGCCGCATTTCCACCATGTCGGCGCACCCCTCACGAGCCTCACGAGGATCGTGGCCCCATAGGGAGCTCCACCGAAGGCCCCAGCGGCAGGGATTGCATGCGTCCCCCCGCCCATGTCGGCACACCCCTCGCGAGGATCGTGGCCCCACGGGGAGCTCCACCGAAGGCCCCAGCGGCAAGGTTTGCATGTGCCCCCCCACCCATGTCGGCACACCCCTCCCGAGGATTGTGGCCCCATACGTAGCTCCACCGAAAGCCCCGGCGGCAGGGTTTGCATTGGTCCCCCCGCCCATTGTGGCACACCCCCCACGAGGATCGTGGCCCCATAGGGAGCTCAGAGCTCCAACGAAGGCCCCAGCGGCAGGGATTGCATGCGTCTCCCCACTCATTTGGGCACACTCTTCACGAGGATCGTGGCTCCATAGGGAGCTCCACCTCCACCAAAGGCCCCAGCAGCAGGTTTTGCATGCGCCCCCCCGCCCATTTCGGCACACCCTTTACGAGGATCGTGGCCCCATAGAGGGTTCCACCGAGAGCGGTACCACAACGCGGTACTCACAGCTGCATATGGTTGGTGTTTGCGGGCCGACATTAGGAATTTGCATTCCTTTCTTGCTTAAATGGCCTGTGTTGGCCTTCTGCGCAAGTAAAGCTTCTGCCCACTACCAGGTTGGCCCCCCCCTCCTCTCCCGATAGGCTGGGGCCACTGACCAGCTGGGGTCGCCCGGCGCCTTCGACGGCGGCTTCTCCAGCTACGAGAACCGCCACCCGGGCAAGGAGGGCGCCGTGCTGCGCGCGCAGGCGCCGCCATTGGGCGGCCCAGGGGCGGGCTCTGGTGCGAGCCAAGCAAAGGGGCCGGGAGCGAGGAGAGGCGGCCCCGCGCGGCTGCTCTGGATGATGCCAGACAGCACATGAGGTGTCGGTTGCGAGGCCCTGACGAGGACCCAAAGAGGCTCCAATCAATTTCAGTTGGCTCTGGAACGGGTCCGAGACGGACCCATGAAGGGCCAGCGCGCGTTCAAACGGACGCGGTCATCTGAATGTTGTTTTCGCGGTTCTGAGCTGGCCCTGAGACCCCTGGGAGGCGCCAAGCTATTTCGCAGATGACCCTGGCCCTGAAACGCAGCAGAAGCCATCGAAAGCCACCCAGCCCAGAGGAGGCCCCCAAATGCCCAACCCAACCGCTGCCGATATCATGGTTATGGCCGTCTGAACATTTGAAGCCGTTTCGCCTTCTCAGTATGCGGGCTTGGAGGCTTGGATCAAGATACTCGGACTGAGGCTTGTTCACATTCGAGGAATCTTGATCCACCCAGTGCGGGCATGTGTCAAGATGCTCGGACTGAGTTCACATTCCAGGACACGGTACTGGACTGAGGCGTTTCCCGCATTCCAGGTTTCTTGATCCACCCACGTCGTGCCTGAGATATTCAGATTCAGGCGTTTCACATTCCAGTTCTCTGGAGCCCTCTTGGGCTAAGCCGACTTCTCATTCCAAGTGTGATGGTTCACGCGCTGCGGGCTTGGATCAAGATACTCGGACTGAAACGCATCCCAAAATTCCAGGTAGCGAAACATGTTCAGATGGCCGCCACCGTGACATCGGTCGGCTGAAAGCGCCAGAGCCACCCTCTGCAGTTCAATGCTGACTACGCCCTCCCGTGGCCAGGAACGACTCAGCCATTTTTTCACGAGGACGGGACCAGAGTGTTCGTGCGGCACAAGATCAACAACCGCCAGCAGAGGGCGACCAGGCGCTATTACAAAAAGCTCGGCCTGGCGAAGGGGGTGAACTGGGGGGACCGCGCAGGGGACATCATGGTCGTCCCAGACCAGCTGGACCCGCGGAAATGGCAGCTCCACGTGCTGGGGGGGGCGACGCTCATCGAAGCGTGCTATGATATGATCCAGCACGTGGAGGACACGAAGCAGCCCAACGAGCAGGTCCGACTGCTGATCGCGAACCAGGTTCCCCCTGCCAGCAAATTAAGAACCCCCCCCCCGGGGCGGGCGGGCACGTCGGCCGTCGGGCGATGAGGGGAGAAGGAGGAGGTGGATGGAGGTCAAGGGTTAAATGAGCGCCGAGTCAGAGTCAGAGGAACGAGGAGAAAGATGAATATGGAGGGTGAGGGGGCCGAGAGGGGAGGTGGGGAAAGGGGGCTCCTCCTGGGGCCCATGGGGCCGCACATTACAACAACATGTTGGTTTCGACCTCCAGGGGTGGTGACCCCGACGTCCCTGATGGTCATCGTGTCCGTCCACCCCTCCTCGCCCTCATGGCCACCCATCCCCATCCCTCCTCGGGCTCCTCGGGGAGAGGGATGTGGATGTGGGGGGCAGTCCTGAAGGGGGGACAGGAAGCTTAACTTTTCTGCCAGGTGCCCCGCATCGTGCTGTTGAACCCCCAGATCCCAGTAGACGCGCAGATCTGGATCAAGGTCCAGTGCAACTCCATGGTCGCAGTGGGATCTTCCACGTCCTTCGTCGAGAGGCTTGAGATTACACCAGTGATTGCAGCGCACTGGGTGAAGTTCCTCAAGGATGAGCGAGATGCTGCTAAGAAACGGTCTGCCGATGACGCGCAGCTGGACGATGCAGATGCGGGCAGCTCCGGGAACAAGGGTGACGATGGCAACGGCAGCCGCTTCAAGGGCTTCGAGGCGAAGTACAACAAATTCGTCAAGGAGAACTACAGGGAGATGTTCGACGGGCTTGAGGATTTCAAGCGCGCAGCTTTATTCAAGAAGAGGTGCGACGCTTTGCAGATATGGGACAGGCTGGTGGACTGGTGGGGGGAGTTCGTGGTGTTCGAGGAGCGTCGCATGAATCCGAAGGCCATGTTCCTCGTGTTCGACAAGATCGGGGACGTGTTGGCCAAGGACAGCTACCACGGGGCCTTTGGCGATGCGATGTTCGAGGTTCTCAAGTACGCGGTGCCGACCGTCTTTGAGCCCCAGCCCAAGGATGACGATGACGATGGGGAGGCAGATGTCGCGCAAGAGATTGCTACTGACGTGGACTACGTGAACCACCCGGACCGCGACGTGCGCTGGATATTGCAGAAGACTTCTGATTGTAAGCGCCTGGTGCAGCTGACCACTCCGATGGCCGACTCTTCCATCTTCAAAGATGCGTTGTCCGCGAGCCCTGCCAAGCGTCTGCTGACGACGGTGGCGAACCCGAAGGCAAAAGGCAAGGCTAAGCCGAAGGGGTCTGCTAAGGCCGCCGTCACGCCAGATGCCGTGGCACATTGCACGCAAGCGGGATCAACAGTCCGCTCGACCATGTTCCTGGATGACGTGATGAACGCTGTTGTCCACCCAGTGCGGAAAATTGACCGTTCACATTGGAATACTGGTGAACTCCGCCGGATGGTGAGGCTCGGAGTTCGCTTGGGGATGAAGCTCCAGTCGGACAAGGGGAAGGTTGTGTTCCAGTTCGGCGACAGAGACTCTGAGGAGGAACACTTCGCACTGTGGAAGATGTTGCGCCCTCGCATCATGGATCACATTTACGACGTGCACAGCGAGCTCGTGGAGAAGCCCAAACCCGAGGGTGATGATATAAACGACTGTGCAAAAGATGGCGTGGCGTCGACACATCAAGATGATGTTGATATGGCTTCATGTTTGGCCTCGCTCAACATGGCAATCGGCAGCGACGGCAAGAGTCGGACGAGGACTAAGAAGCTGGTCGCCGACTTCCTCACCGACAACCCTCCCTTGCAGAACCTGACGTACCTCGAGCAGACACACGTTGTCGTGACCAGGATCAGCTCGACTCTCTTGCGCTCGAAGGGCAGGGTGTACCCAGGAGACGATCTGCAGGCAACATGTCGAACTATTGTCTCGGATGCTTTCAAAGTTCTGGATATGCATACGCCGTCTTGCTTGTATCGGATTTCTGGTTACATTCTGACGTTGCTCGATCAGATAAGTGATGACAAGGACTGGGCGTCATCAAACATGGCGCCTCTAAGCTTAAACACCTTTCGAAAGTGTTGGGTCCTGGGGTGCTTTCGTTTCTGCCCCCCCTGGTCGGGTGTCTTGTGTTTGGGGGTCGGCCGTCGTGTTTGGTTTCGCCCTCCGAGGACAAAAATGCATGGGTCGATGAGAAGCGCAAAGTTGACAAGGAGAGTACCATGCTGACCATCCGGCTCCAGTCGGTCGACGCCTCCTTGGCCCAATGGGTGGCTGAGCTCTGGGCTGACCAATCCGACGTCGTGGCTACCCACCGCACGAGGTTCCTCTACATTCAGAAGGCATTGAAGCTGATTGCAGAGAACGCGCAGTTCGGCAGCGAGCCCATCAAGCAGTACATCATCAATGGGATCGAATTCGGGGCCGCCGTGGAGGCCGACATTTTCGGGTACAATAGCGTAGAGAACGGGAACCCCTCCAGCGAGGCATTGTGGCTCAGGGTGTTCGAGATTGCCGAAATCTTGAAGGGCCGAGTGGTGAAGAAGCCCGTCGTTGCAATGTTGCGGACCGCGGTGGCGTTTTAATCCCAAGGGGGGGGAGCGGAGGAGGAGTATTAGAAGGAGGGGGAGGAGCCCGGGGAGGAGAAGATGATGATGCGGAGGAGGGAGAGGAGGGAGCAGGAATATGGAGGGGGACGACAAGGACGATTGGAGGTCGAGAGGCAGTGATTTCGCCACCGCCCAAAGGAGCCGCGAAGCGCAGGTCAAGTCCAAGATCGAGTGCATGAAGAAGGCCGACATCGTGAAGGCACTGCAGGTTGAGTTCCCTGGCGCAGTGCCCGAAGGTGTTGATACCTTGGTCAAGTCAATGGTTATGCAGTTATTGCTTCAGGAGCGGCTCCGACGGATGGATGCCCAAGAGCTTGCGGCGCTGCAAACATGGAAGAGCTTACTCTGCCTGGGTTTCGAGGAAGGCGCCGACGCGCTTCGGAGGAAAGCCTCTGCCGTGGCCCTGCCCCTGACCGCTCCAGATGCTGAGTCCAGCCCGCGCGGTGACAATGCCGACAATGCTGGCGCCGAGACGGCCGAGACGACGTCCGCGCAGCCTCAGAACACAGTGGTTGTGGCCTTGGAACAGTGCACTCAGGTAGAGATCAACGGCAAGGAATACTTCATCCTCTTCAAGGGTATGGGGGCTTGTGACATGTCGCGCCGCCTGTGGAAGTGCGACGAGGCGAGCCGCTACCTGACGCATGCCATCATGGAGGAGTGGCTGTTCGGTTGCGGGCCTGCCATTACCAAACCAGTGGGCGGCTCCAACGGCGGTGACGATGCCGCCGCGGTGCCGCCGACGCCGAAGAAGCCCAAGACGAGGGTCGCAGGGAAGACCGAGCCTGCGGTGATTGCAGCGAGGGATGAGGACGCCGCGGCGGAGACCGCGGCCGAGAAGGTGGAGGTGGTCGTCGAGGACGAGAACGACGAGAACGATGAGAAGGAGCAGCACGCGAAGCCGATCTCTCTCCTCGATGTGGGCCTTGACTTCCTGGTGTGCCCGTCCTCCCAGATGTCAGCTGGTAGGCCCGGTGGCGGAGTGAAGCTCTACTTCGACAGGACGCGTGATGCATGCGGGTCCATGGAGGAGAAGCTCAAGCTTCATTTCGCAGGCAGGGTGGTGATATACCCTGGCGCCTTCGTTGGAGATGGAGCTCGCGTCGCAGCAGGCCGCGTGCACATTGAGCAGCAGGAGCTCAACATCTTCATCGTGCCGAACGTTAACTTCAAGGACCCCCGCAGCACCATCAGCGCCCCCGCCTGGAGCGTGCCAGTCGTGGCGGACAAGGCGCATGAGGAGGACACCATGACCATGAAGGTGGGCACGTACACGCAGGTGATCAAGGACGCGCCTGGGGTGGACGGCGGCGCCGTGATGCTGGACCGCAGCTTCTTGATGATCAGGCCGAGGGCGGAGCTCTTGGCGATTCAGCAGCGGAAGAGCGAGGAGGGGGTCCCGGCGGCGGCTGCGGGCACCGACGGGGAGTTCGCCCCGCTCGAGCTGGAGCCCCTGACCAGGCCAAAGTTCCCGTGGGAGTTCAAGGCCGTGGTCCAGGAGGACGAGAAGGCCCGCAAGGCGCTTGGCAAGGTGGGCCAACCAATGTCAAATGCAACGGGAGAAAGTATCGTGGAAGGACGAGGGGAGGGAGGGAGGGAGTGAGGAGAAGGATGAGGGTGAGAAGAAGGATGAGGGATGAGTGGAAAGAGGAGGAGGAGGAGGAGGAGGAGGAGGAGGAGGAGGAGGAGGAGGAGGTGGAGGAGGGAGGGAGGGAGGGAGGAGACACCAGGATGGAGAGAGAAGGAAGAGGGGATGGAAGCCCTCCATTACCTCATCCTCCTCCCCTCCATCCACTCTATGCCTCCAGCCCTCCGCCCATCCTCCTCCTTCATCCACTCGATGCCTCCGTCGTCCCTTCCCCTCCTCCTTCAGCCCTCCACCTCGCCACGCCCTTCCCCCATCCTCCCTGTTTCTATCCTGCATCTCTCCCCGCTCTTCGTTCCTGCCTCCAGCCTCCCTCCTTCCCTCCGCCTCCTGGGGGAACCGAAAAGCAGATGCCGATGCCGCAACTCCGCGGACCTTTCCAGTGGTGCGTTCTGATGAGATTTCGAAGCGAATCCAGCCGAAACCACGAGGGACAAGTAGCGGCATCGGTATCTGTTCCTCTTCTGATCGATGATCCTCAGAACGTGCGTCAGCACCGACGTGTGTTTGTCCACTGAGGCACTCCAACACGATGCGGGCGGTTAAATATCGGCGGAGCCGAACGGGGTAGACACACGTTTGGGCTAACACACGCCCTGAGGATAATCGATCTGGCCTCCGCACCTTCCCCCCCACCGCCCCATAGGCCATGAGGCACATCCTCGCGTGAGGGCTGCGAGGACGCCTCCTGGGGGCCTGCCTGGCGGCCTGCCTGGCGGCCTGCCTCTGGGCCCGGTGCCTGCGCGGGGATGCGCGGGCGCCTCGGGCAGGGACCGCCCGCTGGCGAGCCAGAACAACCCGTGGCCGAGCGTCGGCCCTCTCGATCCAGGAAAGGAGCAGCGCAAGAGGACAGGGGAGCAGAGGTGGATAGTAGGTGCGAGGGAAAACAGCGACGGATGATCAGGAGTACGACTAGGATGAGCAGGAGAAGGAGGATGAGGGCTAGGCTACGCATGCGTTGCATATCTAATGGCCTTCGGAACAACCCGCCACCGATCTTGGTTCGGGAATCTCATGGGGGCCTGAGTTGTTGCATTGGGCCCTGTTGAGCCTCCTGGAAGGCTCTTCGGGGCATGGGGACAAGGGTGAGGGCCCTTAGGCCCTTGGGCTCTTGGAGGTTTCTTGGGTCCTCGTGATGCATCTTGTTGTGCATCTGTGTTTCGAAATCCGAATCGGGAGCTCGCGGCACGTTGTCACTTGGCCTCTTTGGATTGCTGATGGGGTCAGTCGCAATTTGCCGCCGCGGTGAGCGCCCAGATGCTTAGAGGCGCCCGTGGGGGTCTCGAGCGCTGCCCCCCCACGGGCCTCGATTTTGCTCAAAACTGACGATAGCCCGATTCCCACGCCTGCACCTCTCCCCCGAGGTCACCACTACCGCCAGCCTGCCCTGGGGCCCAAAGATCTGGCGCTCGAGATCCTCACCGAGGGCCACGTTCAGGGCGGCGACATTGGGGATCTGCTGCGGGAGCGGGCCGGCCGGCGGCGGCGGCGCCGCAGGGGGCGCCGTCAGCGGCGGCGGCGGCGGGGCCATGATGGCCGCCTGCGGGGCTCCAGCAGGCGGTGGTGGCGGGCCCTGGCCGCCGCGGGCCAAGCCAGCGGGGGGGGCACTGGCGGCGCGGACGGGAGTGGCACGCGGAGCGACCCCGGTACCACCCCCGCCGCCCGCGAGGCTGCCCTCCCGGAAGTTGTGGCGGCGCTCATAGGCCGCCAGTTCCGCGCACGCGGTCGCCAGGCGCTCCCTCTTGGCGAATACAAGTCGGACCACTGGAATTCAGGCAGGTCGTCCCAGGAGAGCCCGTCCATTAGCACGCAGTGGCCCTCCCACTGCGGCTGCAGCGGAGCGCAGCGCTTAAAGACGGTGCCCGCCGCCAGCGGCTCGACCATGGGCAGGTGATGCAGGAGGTCCACAGCGCTGAGCACCGCTACCCCCTCCCCCTTGAGCTTGTCGTAACGCAGCAGGGCCTTCAAGTCGCGGATGTCCTCCCGAGGGAAGTCCGCGTGCATGTAGTACGCGCGGGGCGGGCTCAGCTCTTCCTCTATCATCTCGATGCAGACGCCGTAGGAGGTCGCTTAGCGCGCGCCACAATGGCAGTACCAGCGCTGGCCAGACTCCCCCGCCGCCTCCTGCGCGCAGGTGAGCAGTTGCGTCCAGCGATCCGAACGGATCACCGAGCAGCATCCCTTGGGATTGTCCCAGGTCTTGTTGGCCGAGCACTTGTAGTACATGTTGAACGTAAAGCCCTTGCCACGGTAGAGCTGGTCCGTGTAGTCGCCCATCCGTCGGTAGGCCTCCTGCGTCATGGCGTTGCCCTGGCACTCCTCCTTCCACGCACGCTTGTGTCCCAGGTGCGCGTCCACGGCCTCCGAGGCCTCCAGGAGGCCCTTCTTCAGCCTTACCACATCAGCCTCTGCCTCCGCACCCAGCGCGTCGGGCCACTTCTGAACCCCGCCCTGCGCCGCCGCGCCCTTCACCATGTCCTCTTTCTTCTCCAGGATGGGCCCCATGCCTCCCAGCATGTGGGCGCGCATGGTCTCAAATTTGAGGACACCGCAGGCCCGCGCCATACGCTTCAGTGATTTCTCGGAGAGGCCGAGCCGCAGCAGGGGCTCGACATCCGCGACCTCCTCCACAGTCTTGGCGTCGACCAGCTGGTGCCCCTGGCCCTCAACGTCGTTGTCGAGCAGGGGGTCGCTCTCATCACCACGGGAGGGTCTGCGGCGCCAGGTCCATCCTCGAGGGGTGGAGGTGGGGCGCGGGGCGGCCCCGGCACCACCTCCACCGCCATCGGGCGACCGACCTCCTGCGCCACCGTCTCCGTGGCCGGAGGGGCGCCCACGCTCTCGGGAGCGATGCCCACCCTGACGCCTTCTATCGCCCTCCGCAGGGCTAGCAAGCCGTCGTTGGAGAGCGCGTAACCCACGAGCACGTCCATGCCCTCCTTGATGCGGTCAAAGCTCGCGCGGAACTTCGCCACGCGCTTGGCGGCGTGGTCGATGGAGCCAGCTCCCTTGTTCTGGCGCGCTGCGCGCGTCACAGCCTCGTGCTCGGGGATGCCCTGCGCCGCCGCCACGCAGTGCGAGCACGTGTACAGCTTGTATTGGCCTTGATCACCCTTCCGCAGCTTGGGGCACTGCGGGTTGTGCTCTGAAGCTTCGGTGTAGCGGCGCATTTCGCCACAGTTGAGCTCGTCCACGTACTCCACCATCATGACCTTCCAGTCATCCAGCGCTGCGCACTCACGACACCAGCCCAGGCGCTGCGGCGGGAGCCAGTACGCACCCATGCAGTGCACGTAGCCCGCCGCGAGGTAGTCCACGTCCGTCATCATCT